AAACATTCGATCAACACGCAGAGCGCGAGAGCAAGGCGTATCGCGACAGCGGAGAGGCGTCGTACGGAGGGCACGCAGCCTGGTCTGGCTAGGAGCGAGAGCGCCTTGGTAATTGTATAAATGTCGAGCGTGTGGAAATACACGATGTCACGTCTAGGCGTGATTTTCCAGGCTGTCACGCTTTTTTTTGCCATGTTTCTAGGAAGCGATGCTCGCGCGGAGAAGTTTTGGATTTTCCCAACCATGAGTTCTTATCCACATGGTCCCGCCGGGTCCCGCCCCACACGGTCCCGTCCGCAAGGCCCATCCAAGATGACCTCTCCCCAGGGGCTAGCGCTATCTTAGGGCCGAGTCTCTTCGGGTCGAGGTTACTGGGCTCCCTGCTGTTGCGCGCGCAAGCAAAAGTGGGGTAACACTGCTTCGGCATGGTGGTACCTCACAGGGTCGAGATGGCTCCAAGGTGGCCTCAGAGTGGCTGGGGCAGCCCTCCTACGGCAACGCTGCAGGACGATCTTATGCTCTGAGGTAAGAAATCAAGGAGGCGTGACCACATAGGGTCTTGACCGGTCTCGTAGGTTCCCACCCCATGGCGCCCCCACCGCAGGGTCCCAGTCGTAGTCGTTACTCTTTGGGGGCCACCGCGCTGGCATGACTCTTGGACGTGCCGACAGTATGGCTCTGAAGCGCTAAGCTTTCGTGCGCTTCGCGATCGCACAGACTCCGCGCCTACAATGGAGCGCCCCAAACATTCAGTCGTGGGCTGCATACAGATCAGAGGCCCGCAGCTCTCCAGATGGGTGGGAGGTGGCAACAGGAGCAGCACCAACAAGAGCAAGAGCAGGAAGGAGGAGGACCAGGAGGAACGAGATGAGGAAGAGGGGGAGGCGAGGAGGGCGTCAAGTTTGACAGTCGCACTGGTCATGCGAACTGCCAAATTCGCGTTCGAGCCCAACGGTCCACGACGCTTGCTCTGTGCTACACTCGTTTCTCATCTTTGCTGGCTTCTTCTGCTGGGCTCGCCTCATCCTCGCTGGCTTTTTCTGCTGGGCCCGCCTGTCCAGAGGTCAGGCGTTGCGCGCTGCTGCAACGGATCCTCTTATGATTCCATCAGTTGTTCGATCCGATTATTGCTTGTCGCTTCTGCTCAGCTGTGCCATGATTACCTGGCATTGGTTCGCTGTGCAGGGTTCAAAGATGATGGCATTTCTCTTTCTCGACGTACGCTGCGCTCAGGGGGATTCAACAGAGCTTCATTCTGTACTTGTGCTCCGCGTTGCCGCATATGCCCACATTCTCATTGGGGGCCCTCCGAGGCTCGCTCAAACAACAGCACCAGGGCTCCCCATCAGACTTGCTCCTCAGGAGTCGGAGCGCGCGGCTGTCCTGCCCATCGGGTTTGGATGTTAGTGGGCTTGCCCCCAGCCCCAGGCTTTTTTCCCAGCCCTCCCCTTTGCTTTCTCCTCCAGGAGAAACGCTCGGCGTTCCGTCTTCAGGCGCGCCAGTCATTGCATTATCCATGGCCAACCCTTGATGGATCGGTATACCCAGCGAACCCGCATTGATTTTTTGGGGGATTTTTCATACGAGGGAAGTTCGTCTTCGAACGTGGATTGTTCATGTTGCAGCGATGTTGCTTGACAGGATAGTCAGTTACTTGCGGAAGCAGGGGAGCAGGATTCGCACTTGGGGAGGGGGATGATGAGAAATGGATGATGCCATTTGATGGTGATGACGATGAATGTGTCAGTTGCCACTCCCCGCGGGAATAGAGCTCACATGCGATTATTGCCATCAGGGTGCGGATGTTAGTTGCCGTTTTGCGCGGGATGCCATCAACCGAATATCGAAAGCACCCCTTACTTCGACCGCGACGTCACGACTGAAACGCCCAATCATTTTTTTCAACATGTTCTGCAGAATCTTCAAGTGATGAATACATTTGCAAGCTCATGTGTGTATGAATTCGTGTGTGCGCTCAATCTGTTGTTAAGACGCTCCCTCCCCCGAGCTAGGTCTCAGAATTTCTTAACCAAGAATAGCGAATTCGCAAAAGGTGGAACCAGTTTCTTAGCCGTGACGGGCGAAGGAAAGAATGGAGACAATCCTCAGCACCACCACCCCCAGCACAACCCCCAAGCACAACTCCCCCGCACAACCCCCCACGCAGCCTCACAACCCCTAGCACTACCTCTCAGCACAACCCCCAGCACAACCCCCAAGCACAACCCCCCAGCACAACCCCCCCACGCAGCCTCACAACCCCCAGCACTACCTCTCAGCACAACCCCCGCACAACCCCCAAGCACAACCCCCCAGCACAACCCCCCCACGCAGCCTCACAACCCCACAGCACAACCCCCAAGCACAACTCCCCTGCGCAACCCCCCACGCAGCCTCACAACCCCTAGCAGTACCTCTCAGCACAACCCCCAGCACGACCCCCAAGCACAACCCCCCAGCACAACCCCCCACGCAGCCTCACAACCCCTAGCACTACCTCTCAGCACAACCCCCAGCACAACCACCAAGCACAACCCCCCAGCACAACCCCCCACGCAGCCTCACAACCCCTAGCACTACCTCTCAGCACAGCCCCCAAGCACAACCCCCCAGCACAACCCCCCACGCAGCCTCACAACCCCCAGAACTACCTCTCAGCACAACCCCCAGCACAACCCCCATGCACAACCCCCCAGCACAACCCCCCACACAGCCTCACAACCCCTAGCACTACCTCTCAGCACAACCCCCAGCACAACCCCCAAGCACAACCCCCCAGCACAACCCCCCACGCAGCCTCACAACCCCTAGCACTACCTCTCAGCACAACCCCCAGCACAACCCCCAAGCACAACCCCCCAGCACAACCCCCCACGCAGCCTCACAACCCCTAGCACTACCTAGGTCATGGTGTGTCATGCTGGGTGGTCGAGCAGGTGGTCCTGGGGGTGGTTGTGCGGTGGTCCTGCTGGTCGTTGGTCGTGCTGGCAGTTGTGCTGGTGGTTAGTAGCGCTCGGGGTCGTGCTGGTGATCATGCTTGTGGTCGTGCGGCTGGTCCTGCGGCTGGTCATGCTGAGGGTTATGCCAGTAGTCGTGCTGGTGGTCGTCTGGTGGTTGTGCTTGTGGTCGTGCAGGTGGTCGTCCAGGTGGTCGTGCGGCTGCTCGTCCTGGGAGTTGTGCCAGTGGTCGTGCTGGTGGTGGTGCTGGTGATCGTATTGGTGGCTGGTCGTGCTGGTGGTCGTGCTCGGGGGATGGTCGTGCTGGGTGGTCGCGCTGGTTGTCGTGCTGGTAGCCTTGCCGGGTGGTCGTGCTGGATGGTCGTACAGGTTGGCCGTGCCGGTGGGTGCAGTGCAACACCAGATTCGTTAAGAAATTCTGGGGCCAAAGCTGGGTCTCGCACCGGAGTTAAGAAATCCATCGAAGCTGGGTCTCAATGTCTTAACAGAAGATTTCGTGACACAAGTTTTGAGTGTATGTTCACTGTTTTTTTAAAGATCTACCAACGTTATTCCCTACCTAGGCTCTGCCTAGAAGGGTTCCTACTCTGTAGCTTCAAGGGGCCGGGCAGTGTAAACCGCCCCGGGCGGTTCCCCCAGTCCCCTGGGAGCCAAGCAAAAGCAACAGCAAAGGTAAAAGCAAACGCGTGGTTCCCCCAGTTGCGCTCCCTGGGTGCCAAGCAAAAGCAAAAGCAAAGGCAAAAGTGAATGCAAAAGCGAAGGCAAGCAAAAGCATAGCATAGCATAGCACAGCACAGCGCAGCATAGCATAGCGCAGCATAGCATAGCATAGCCTAGCCTAGCCCAGCATGGCATTGCGCAGCATAGCATAGCATAGCATAGCAGAGCAGAGCATAGCGTAGCATAGCATAGCGCAGCACAGCATCCATATGTAGATGTGAAGAACTCCCCGGTGCCCCGCCCTCATCTCCGTGCCTGCTTGCTGTTGCTGCTGTCTCGGCGACTTGCTGCCTGCTTCTGCAGCTGCTTCACTTGCTACTACTACTACTACTACTACTACTACTACCACTACTACTACTACTACTACTACTACTACCACTACTACTACTACTACAACTACTACTACTACTACTACTACTACTACTACTATTACTAGTACTACTACTACTACTACGACTACGACTACTACTACTACTACTACTATTACTACTACTACTCCTGCTACTACTACTACTACTCCTACTACACTACTACTGCTACAACTACTACTACTACTACGACTACTACTACTACTACGACTACTACTACTACTACTACTACACTACTACTACTACTACACTAACTACTACTACTACTACTACTACTACTACTACTACTACTACTACTCTACTACTACTACTACTACTACTACGACTACTACTACTACGACTACTACTACTACTACTACTACTACTACTACTACTACTACTACTACTACTACTACTACTACTACTACTACTACTGCTACTACTTGGCTGCTGCTGCTGCTACTACTACTACTACTGCTGCTGCTGCTGCTGCTGCTACTACGACTACTACTAGCACTACTACTACTACTACTACTACTACTACTACTACGACGACGACGACGACGACGACGACCGACGACGACGACGACGACGACGACGACGACGACGACGACGACGACGACGACGACGACGACGACTACTACTACTACTACTACTACTACTACTACTACTACTACTACCGCTACTGCGACAACTACGACGATGAGGAGAAGGAGGAGCACGGCGTTTACAGCTCCTACTAATGTTGCTTTCCTAGAGGCTCCAACTCCTAGGTAGAGTCGCACTGGGATAATTGTTGTCAGACCCCTGGCCCGCACGTAGGAGCCTTGGCACGCATGTGTTTCTTCTAGTATGCATTGCAGCTGCGAGAAGCAAGACTGGTAATGCAGATGTGCGAGCAGCGATGATAAAAAAAACAGTGGAGGCAACAGCAGATGGAGTCAATCTGAGGGGCAGCCGCGGAGGCTGGGGGCAGGTGAGGGCCGTGATGCACCACCCCGCCATTTTGATGTGGCTCGTTGGCAACGAGTGGAACTACAATGGCCCATGGGTGGCACCAAAGCCGCCACTGCCACGCTGCCCATTTGCCGCGGCCGCCTGGTCGCAGGGCCACTGGCCACGAATGGGCTTGCATTTCGGAAGCCTCATTCTGCTTCTCTTCCTCTTCGTCCTTCTACGCTGCCCTTTCTCTTACCATCATCTTCCTTGATTTCGAGCTGTGAGCATCCTCGAGATCTTTCTGTGGCAGCCCGCGATTGCCATGTAACTGATTCTGCTCTGGCGACCCCCCGACAGGTCGAAGTACAAGTGACACGGGGACCATCGGTTGCAGCGCAAGGTGGGAAAGGCTACTGCGCCCACAGACGCTGATACACTGGCTAGGCGCGAGACGGTTGCCATGATGTTTGGCCGATGGGGGTTGAAGGTTGAGCTGCAGCTCATCTAGACCATTCAATTGGGTTTGAGCTAATTCCCGCCGACGATGTGATTTAGGCGACGGTTCAGTTGCCTGTGGCCGAGCAGGCGAATCGCCGAAAGAGAGATTCATATTCTGACGTGGTGAAGTTCCGATTCTCACTCTTGGTGATTTTCCAGTGGGTCACGCTCCTGCCGATGATTTAATCTTAAGGGCATTACGAGCAAGCGTGCCCTGCCCACCGACGAACTGCCAAACGATGACATCAGCGACACTGAGGCACTGACCCCTGGGCTGATTGAGTCGTTGGGGTGTCCGATCTCTTCTCCTCTGCTGATTGCATCCGACGTGCGACACATCGGGCAGATTGCTGCGGTCGTGGTACAATGTCACCTGGCAGTTTCGCCAGGTATGGAACATTGCTGCAGGAATGATCTGCCACCCGCCCAAACAGTCGACTCTGAGCCGGCGCCAGGGCCACACGGCCGACGAGCACGAAGCACGATGGCATCCGAGCCACACGGCCAATACGCACGCGGCCCGACGCAGTCACGAAGGTCAACGTGACAGCAGGGGCGATGGCACCCGGGCGTCCTTCCGCAGCCACGTTCCCTCCGCGAGCTCACGCAGCCACACCCCCGCGCAAGCCTCTCGACAGCACGGCGAGTCCAGCGACACCAGCCAGCCCGACGCGACCTCGCCGGCCTCGCGGGCGCTCCTTGACCCGGTGTTTGTCAAGGCAACTGCCGTCTCACCCCGGGTGAGCATTCATGGTTCTCCATCGGGTGTGGCCCCATCCGTCCCGCCCACCGGGTGCGGTCTTTGTAATCTGTAGGGCCACGCGGACGCTCCCGCCCGCTCCTCCAGGAGCAGGAAGCCCAGCATGACTCTTCAAGGTGTGCTGTTGCAGAATACCCCTCGCAGTCTCTGCCATACTTTATAAAGCTATCCTGGACTGTGTCCTCTGCGCGTCCTCCGCTGCTTCAGAGTCCATCGTTCTTGGACTTGGCAAATAGCGCGTTACTGTCTTGTACTACTTTCGCTCCTCCTGGTCTTTGTTCCCTCTGTCAGCCTCCTTCTCTTCCCCTTCGTCTTCATCGGCTTCGTGCCGCCGTCGTCCTCCGCCTGCTGCTGCGACTCCCCAGTACTTTAACATTCCTCCTCCTCCTCCTCCTCCTCCTCGTTCGTTCGTTCCTGAGGCAAGAGAGTCGAAGCCTATACACGGGGATAGGGCGAGAAAAAGCAGGATGGAAGCAGTGGCGACGAGGATCCCCCAGACCAAGAGCCACACGGAGAGGACCAGCCCAAAGCCCACGCACCCCCCGAAGAGGGAGGACGCAAAGGAGGAAGAAAGGAGAAGAGGAGGAGGGCCCGCAAGGGGGGAGCTTGGGTTAAGGGCGTCCCAAGAAGCAACGGCCCACAAGGGCCCGCAGAGACAGGCACACAAAAACGAGCCGAGCGCAGCAAGGCGACGAGGCATTCCGAGCCGCGTCCAGCGCGTCAGGCAGATGCTGCAACGTTGCTGCATTCCCCGCTCAGCTCACATGCCCTTCAATGTGCAACCAAACTATCTCACATCCCAGTCGAAATCCAACTGCTCAACCATGACAGCCCACTTTCTCGAAGTCAGCCGTGCCCGGACCACGGTGCTTTGGGCGGCTTTGAGACGATCTTGCAATGCACCAGTTGCAGGCGGTGGCGTTCAGCTCTGGTTCGGCGAGTTCTCTGTCGCAGAGGGCCCTCGCAAAACAGCAGCCCGTGCATCGGCCAATGCGGTGATGGTATCGGACTCTAGCAGCTTGTACCGTACCAGCGCTGCCTCGAGACACTTTGGCTGAGACCGCACCGAGGTGTTCCGGAAGGGCAGATTCGACCAACTCAGACAGCATCGTGACCTTTTCTTCGGCCGACTGGATGAGCCTGGACGTGCAATTATCCTTCTCGTGTGCCTTAGCATTGGCGTCGCGTACCGTTTCTTGGATGGCAGCTGGATCGAGTCCCTCTTCGCGACGCATAACTACGGTCTCTGGTGATTCCGCTGTGGTCTTCGTCCCTCCCGACGGTGTGCTTTGAGCATCTCGCGCAAGGTCACCCGGAACGCAACCACCTCCAGGGGCGTGGCCATGCGAATTGTACATGCGAGTGCCGCCTGGCTGACGAATTTGTCCAAATTCCTCCTGATCTGCACCAACGACGATACGGGATTCCGCGGAATGAACAGGTAAAGGCTGTTTGTAAATAGTGGAAACGTGACTCGCCAACAGAATTCCGATGCCCATGATCAACCACTGAATAGCGATCAACCAGTTGTGACAAATTGTGTATCAGGCTTATCGTTGCAACATTATGCATGTGAACGCTGGAACCCTGATGCAGAATGATATGGCACACGATCTTCTTGGGATGGCTATTGATGCGCGCGCTGCACTGTCTGCCTGCCTGCAATTGCTCCAATATCCACTGGAGGCGCGCGGCAGACACCATCAACTGCGGAGCCGAAAGAGCGAAAGGGGGAAGCGGCGCGCGCCGCCCGGTGGCCCATGAGGCGTGCAAGTGTTCGCCCCGATACGGTTCTCCTCATCCTCCTTCTCCTCCTCCCCCTCCTCCCTGAACTCATCCCCCAGCCCTGACAATGTCAAAAAGCGGTACGGGGGCCGCGGAAGGCAACGCGGAACGCGTGCCTTTTCAGCGGGAGCCAGCTGAAGTACGGCGGGCTGACGCCATGTCCGATGTCACCCACGCAGCAGGCGTCGGGCGTCCGCAGTTCGGGCTTCGGGTAGGGGTCCGAAAGGGAGCTCCGCTCGGTGAGAGAATATCGCGATTGGACGCCTCAGTGGCTTGGGCGCCGGTGCGTCTGGCTAGCGCTGCTCGGGCGGATAGAGGGCGCCTTGGTGGGCCAAGGTTTTGGCCGCCGTCGGGCTGGGAGGGGGAGGGAGGGGGAACAGAACGGGACGTGACGAAGTGGGGGAAGGGAGAAGCAGGGGCGCAGGATGGGGAAAGGGGGAGGGGAAGAGAGGGGGAGGAAGGCAGTAATTAGGGACGGAGTGATGCGAGCGGGGGGAGAGGCGGTGAGCAAAGAGAGGAAGCAGGGGAGGGGAGGAGCGGGGTCGTGGGCCGATTTGGAGCTGGAAGCCTCCGAAGGAAATAGCCTGCCGCGGCAGATCCCCGAAGAAGTGCCTGTCGAGCGAGCCGCGCGGGCTCCGAGCCGTTGACGTCGTCTTCCCCCCTCCGTCTGTCAGGCCGTTGCGCGCGTCGAAGAACCTCTTCCATGGCCGCCGCCGCCATCACCGTCGCCAGGGGAGGGGGGCGAGCAGACGTGCCCGGCGAGGCTTGTACTACGGCCTGCCCTTCGAGGAAACGTTGGCCAAGGCCCCGCAGTGCCAGCCCCGCCGGCCCTGGCGTCGGATCCAGTCGGACCTGGCCGACCGGGGGGCGGTCCATGATCCGACCTCAGTTGGTCGTTCTTGGGCCACCCGCGCGGGCGTGAAGACAGCCGCGCTGTCTCCGTCTGGGCTTGAGAGCGAGTCTTCTCCAATGGCCAACGCGAGGGCGTGAAGATGAGAGTGCTTCGCAAAGGGAGGCGGCTTGGGTCGCTTTCGCTTTCGGATTCGGATACCCCAGGCGCTGAGGCTCCATCCGTCGCTTCGCCGTCTCTCGTCCACGGTCGGGCGTCTCGCAGCCTTGTCCTCAGTTCGAGCATGAGTCGGGCGTTGAATTGTTGGCACCATTGGCGCGTTGCTTTCGCAAGTTCTTTGGCATACCACGTTTAATGGCTTCGCGTGGCACGACCGCAGATGTGAGGCGCCAGTCCAGCCAAGCGAGCCCCAGTCAAACGGGTGCTGTGTGCCAGCTGACAACGCGCTGCAACATCGCGTCCAGGTCAGCCGGCCTCCTCCCCACTGCGGGCAGCCACTCTTTCCCCAGGCTCGGCTGGGCCATGAGCCTCGTTCGCGTGTCCGGCCGCGCCTCGGGGTGCCTGCCCCTCCATTCCTTGCCCCTCCCGCCTCTCCCCGTCTTCCGGTGCCTCCCTGCCTTCGGGGGGAGGCGCCGCGGCGCCGCCGCGGCGCCTGACCAACGGGCTGGGGCCTTTGCCCAGACGGCGCGCTCGCTCGCGCTCGCTCTTTCAGGAGGAGGCCTCTGCCTGGGTGCTGCCGCTCCTCCTCCAAGGTCTCCAAGGTCGTCGATATCATCAAGGAGGTGGACCAAGGCCACCCCGTGGCCACCGTGCACGGGGAGCTGCCCAGTGCAGACACCCTGAAGGCACGACCTTCGATCACTCCGTGCCTCCCTGTCCCCCACCTCTTTCTATTCCTCGCTCCTCCGCGCCCTCTCTCTCCTCCCCCTTCCCCTTCCAATCCCTCCTCTTCCTCCCTCTGGCTCTCCCCCTCTCCCTCGCTGCTCGGGGGGCAAGGGGGCCAGCTCACCTGGAAGGGGCCGGAGGAGGGGAGAGGCTGCATAGGGTTTTGCCTCCTTCCGCTCCTGCTCCCTGGCCTTTGTTCTTGGCGTACATCTGCTCCCGCTCCCCTCGCCTTCGCCGCGATTGGCAGCCCCGAGCGGGACTCTCCACTCTACCGACCAAAGCACAGTGTGAAATCCAAGCTTCCCCGTTCAAGCTGGACGTTTTGTGGCGCCGACATTTCAACGCACGTCACACGCGAGGGGGCAAAATGTCGCTCTGGGCGAATGTCGCTCTCGCCGCAGCGCAGCACAGGAGATGCGCTCCCGCTTGGGCGCGGCGCACGTCGTCCGCAAGGAAATATCAAGCTCGCTTCAGCGACGTGCAGCTTTTACTGTAAGCTGCGCTCCCGATTTGGCGCGGTGCATTGCGTTCACTTGCCAGCTTGTTGGAGGCTGGGTCGCGAGCAAGAAAGCGAAGTATCCCTCTCGCCTCACCGCCGCGCAGGTCTTTCCAGAAATCTGCGCTTCCCCTGAGGCTCGGGCTGTCCTTTCCCCTTGCCAAGCCGCCGGGATCAGAGCCGCGTGTGTGATGTCTGTCAGCTGCGCTCCGGAAGGGCGGGCGTGGCAGGTGATTTCTCGGGGCTCACGGGACGGGGGTCAGCCAGAGTGCCAGATCTTGCAGGATTCTGCAGAGCCAGGGGTGCATTGACTCGGGCTAGCGTGCAGGATCCTGCAGGATTTTGCGGGATCTTGCAGGATCCTGCAAATCCTGACTGACCCGGGTTTGGATTGACCCTGGTCAGTAGATCCCCGAATTCCCTTCCCCACGTTTATGGAAGCAGAGCTTCGCGCGAACGAGCGCCTTCGATTTGTCAGGTGAGAGCAGGGAGCAGACGCCGGGTCGCGAGGCCCAATATACAATTGCGGCGGCAGGCGTTGATTCTTATACTGAGAGGAGGGAGGGTGTCAGTGGGCGGGTCCGCTCGACTCCTGCTCCTACGCGTGTTATTGCATTCGTGTATGACTTTCACTCTGCCTCCTGGCCGACGGTTTAGGGCCGTGTCGGTCCCCTTCCCAGCCTACCCATCAGACAGCGGCGCAATGCCAATTGTATGTTATATATACACACCATGGACATTTGGTCGTCGACGTTGCCTGCAAAATGCGTGGCAGGAAGGGGACGCGGCGTATATCGCGAGCGAATTGTCGCAATGCCATTGTCGCCTCACCGCGGCACATCTACATTTTTACATGTTAGGTTCACATATTTGTGCGTGAATTTGAAAAGTGTACTGCCGCTTTGGCGCGGTGCAGGTTTTTGCTCGCCTGCTCGTCGGGCACGGGGCCGCGCGCGAGCGAGCGAAATACCGCTCTTACCCAAGTGCGCATGCTTCGCCAGGGTATGGCGCTCCCGCTTGGGCGCGGCGCATGTTATTCGTTTGCCCAACCGTCGGAAGTGGGGCCGCTCCCGAGAGACGCAAATGTCGGTCTCGTTTCCGCAGAGATTGTTTAGTTGCGTGTCCGCTTGGGTGCGGCGCATGCTTTGACCTCGCCAGTCCTGTCGGAGGCCTGCATGTGCGCGACAGAGCTCAATCGTATTGTCGCCTCAGGGTAACGCCAGGTTTTTCTGAAAGTTCTGTTTCCGCCTGCTCGCGGCCCATGGTTTCCTTCGCCATGTCGTCGGAAGCATGGCCGCACGCGAGCGCGTGCGAGCGCATCCCGCTTGTTGGGTGGGAGCGCGCGCCCGTTCCATCATCCAGTGTTGCCAGCACTTCTGTTTATGTCATGGAAGGGTGGCCGGGAGTAGGTGAGGCCTGCTGACTCGTTCGAGCCAGCCAGCTTGACTCTTCAACTGAATCATACTCCGACCACGACACCGCGGCCACGTATTGACGATCGCCCTTCCGTCCAGTGTGGATTTCCATGCGCGGCGAATGCCATCGTGTGTGTGTGTGTACTTGACCTCAGCTTCATTTTTGTCGTCTTATGCTGCAAGCGGTTCTATGACTGCAGGCAGTTCCTATGACTGCCTGGAGCGGTTCCCTGCAGGCAGTTTCTATGACTGCCAGCAGGGGACCGCTCCCGGCAGGGAGTGGACGTCAGGCCGCTCCGCTCCGCTCCGATTGTATTATCTGTCGCACTGCAAGTGCGCGTGCCCACGTGCTGCTGTCCGAATCCGTTTTGGATGAGTCTTGTGATTTTCTGTCTGGCAGGCCCTCTTCCGAGCAGCCCTCAACTCTAGTCCCGGCCTGCCGTGAAGACAGAATTCACGCCTCATCATCGTCTTGACAACTGTACTATTCGATATGTGATGTGAACTTTGATTCCTGAGAGTCGTTCTTATTGGCACTCCAGATTGCAGTGGGGGTCTTGGCGCTAGTCTGAACCCGAAAGCGGCTGTACCAGAGAGCGTGAGCCACAGTTAACGTATTAATTTCTCTCGAGGGTTGAGTTTTGACTCTGAGATTCAATCATACACGATACTGGTATCTATATATTTTTATATATATATATATGTGTTGTGCTCAACCGTGTGTCGACGCCTGCCTTGGAGCCTTTTGGATGTACCATTGGCGTCTCTTACATTCGAGCCAACGATGCCGAGTTCTCGTCCACGCCGAGGGGCCCCGGATGTACTTCGGCAGCGTCTTCGAGGGTTATCTTCATCTGCACTTGATGTGAATGGGGAAGATACGATTCCTAATCATTTGTTTGAGCTAGCTAGACAGTGGCTTAGGTCACATGTGGAAAAAAACATGTGGGTGTGTACGCTGCGTTAAATGTTCGCGTGCACAATTTATTCGCTTCTTCGGGAAGGCTTGTATAGCGGTCTCTCCACGATTTAAGTTATGATCAGGTGGAATTGGTTGATGAGCTACGTAATCCACGTAGCCCGATGGTACTTTGGAGTGTGTTGCTTCTGGTCTCGGTTTGTCGTTTCTTTTTGACGTTACGGCGGGCGACGAGCATGGAAGGTGCTCGTCAGCGTAGCGTTGCTTCTCAAGCTCTTCGTGGATTCTCACCGGCGGTCAGGGGTGCTCAGGCCAGGTTGTGTTGGCTTTGTACACGCTCTGGAGGTCATCCATGTCTTCTTGATTCAGATTTGGATTCGCTTGTCCCGTGACCCTGGACGACATCACATATACCAGCTATGTTTGCGGTGCCTGTATTTGAGACCAGGGCAGTGCAGAAAACCAAGTTCACGGCAGCCCGGGATTTTCGTGCGTTTTCGTTTACACGTTAATGTTTAGTTTCATGCCTTTTCGGAGGTTACACGTCTGATACGAGACCATTTCTTTATTGCTTGGGGCATGACGGCCGTCATGGCCCCCGCTCCCCCCCCCTCTATGACGTAACGCTCCCCCCCCCCAGTGCGCTCCGGGCACTGCCGCCGTGCGCGCTGGGATCCGCGAAGGTGTCCGCGTAAGATTCCGCATAGGAGTCTGGTCCGCAGTCGTCGTCGTCGTCGTCGTCGTCGTCGTCGTCGTCGTCGTCGTCGTCGTCATCGCTCGTGGCTCGTCGCTCATCGTCGTCGTGCGCACGGACGCGGCTGGAGCCTGTTATTTGTTCCGGGCCGATCACGGCAATCATCTGAGGGGGTGTGGAGGGGGTCGATGACATCATGTTTCGCGCCGGCGGCGTCTGGGAATGCGTAGGAATGACGGAGGACGGGTAGCACCAGCATGTAGGTGGCGATTTGCACCACAACGCCCGTGTACACCACAGTGCCTGCGTGCACCGCAGCGCCTGTGTACACCACACCGCCTATGTACACCACGGCGGCCGCGTGCAACACAGCGTCAGTTTGTGCCACCGTGCTCGCGGGCACAAAAGCTGTTGTGTACACCGCGGCGCTTGCGTACACCACATCAGCCGTTTGCAACACAGCACCAGTGTACACCATAATGCCTGCGTGCGTTGCAGTGCCTGTGTACACCACGGCGCCGGTGTGCACCACAGCAACCGTGTGCAACACAGCGCCACACTTGCATATCGAATGTTAGAAGGAATCCGTATGACAAAATGGAGCGCTTGTGGATTCCACAGAAAGCAGTACAAAGTAATCCTTACGGCCAAAGGAGCGCCGCTGAAATCTACGAGTTTTCCCGAATCCACCCGCATCACCCTAATTTTTTCCATCTGCGTCCAGGAGGCTCCAGCTAAATTGGCCGTGCGAGAACCAAGTGGACCGATTCAATAAACCATTATGCGGTGCACTGCGCGCTGAACTGCGCACGTGCGCTGTAGCGCCACCCCGCACGACAGGGGGTAAGGAGGAGGAAGAGGAGGAGGAGGAGGAGGAGGAGGAGGAGGAGGAAGACGACGACGACGAGGAGGAAGAGGAGGAGGATGATGACAAGGAGGTGGAGGTGGAGGGGGAGGAGGAGGGAAGAGGGAAGAACGTCGCATTCGATTATCAGCACTGTCCTGCAAGCAGGCACTGGTGTACAGTCGCGCTGCGTTGCACGCGGATGCTGTGGTGTAGACAGGCGCTGTGGCGTGCACAGGCGTTGCGGTGCACGCAGGCACTGTGGTGTACACAGGCGCTCTGTTGCACATGGTTGCTGCGGTGTACACATGTACACCGGCGCTGTAGTGTACGCAAGCACTGGTGTAGAAAGGCGCTGCGTTGCACACGGTTCTTGCGGTGTACGCAGGTGTTGTGGTGTTCGCGCGCGTTGTGGTGCACGCGAGCGATGTGTACAAAGGCGCAGTGGGGCATATCGCCACCTACATTTTGCTCGCGTCGTCCTCGTCGTCGTCGTCGTCGTCGTCGTCGTCGCTCGTCGCTCGTCGCTCGTCGCGTCGTGCGCGCGGGCGCGGCTGTGGTGCCGGAGCCACGGCGGGGGGGGCGGCGTTACGTCATGCCCCCCCCCCCGCGCCCCCCCCCCACCCCCCATGACGCCCGTCATCGCCGAACATAAAGAAACGCTCTCTACGCTTTCCTATAGATACAAACTCTTAGGTAGAGGGAGCCAGTCCGAATTAGATCTGCTGTTTCTTGACCACGTTCTTTCATACCAGGCCCCTGCGTTTGAGCCCGCACATATTGAGATTGTGTCTCCACATGCGAACGGCGTGCCCGCTCGCGCGCCCGCTTTTCCTGTCCATCTTCACGATCACCGTCGCCCTCGCTAGCGGGCTACCACGAGGATCCGAAGAAGTGCATGTGGTGTTTAACAGCGGCTCTTTCGTGGAGAGACTACCTTGTTTGATCGAATCCTACGGCGGACTTGCGAACGGGCTGCAGACAAGCATGATGTTCGATTGTGGGTTGCTCTTGCACGGGCGCGTTTCCGCGTTTTTTTGTGTTACATATATAATGTTATAGCAATGTGTTGCGTGGATTTGGATTCGTGGGGCCAGTCAACATCTACGACCCGAGTTACTTTTGCTTTTTGTTCAAGCATGCTCCGTCTTAGGAGTACTGCCTCTATTGGAGTTCGGCCTGTCGGCAATCTGGCTGCGGTACCGATTTCGCGTGTCGTGTTGGGGGTGAGTCCAGGGTGCTTCCGCACATGCATGATCGCCTTGGATTCCATCGGCGAGTTTCTACTCTGTCCAGTGCCACGTGGATGGTGCGTGACTGTGCCACACTCCACGTGGCGATCAATTGCAACAAAACTATTGTGTTCGTTGTTTCTGGCATCTGTGCTGATTGGCCCCACCTTGGGAGCCTCTTGTTGGAGCGGGCAAAATTGTTGGATCGCCGACGGTCAACCTTTAGCGGACCACTTGTTCGATTTTGCCTTGGGCAGATCGGTCCAACTCAGGTCTCTCTTGATATCAATATGCAGCGCCTTACACGCGCTGCTGCTGGATATGATATCATACGTGTTCCGCTTGGTGGGAGGTGGCCGCTGAGAATCTTCGTCTTCGGTATGATATCATGTGCTACTCGATGTGCACGTTCGTTTCTGGTCTCTGGACTCTGGCTCCGCAGATGGCCTCGTTACTTGTGCCCTGGCATCGTAGTTCCAACATTGGGTCTTGGACAGGGCTGGATTTCGCCATCCCTCATATATCTGATATCCTTTTTGGTAATATTGGGAAAAGTGTTGTTGTGTTGTCAGCGGATAAGGGTCCGAATTCTATATGATTAGCTGACTCTTCCGAGCTTGCGTTACGATGGCTTTCCATATTCGGCCATAAGACTGACACGCTGAGTTTGAGCGACATGACGCTTGATGATTTTGTGTCAAAGTTTCGACGCGCGAATGAGGTATCCCTACGTCGCTGCCTACGTATGAAATCGACACCAGTGTATACGAAGACGTTGCTGAGCATTCTTTCGACACTCAAGTCTAAACGTTGGCCTGCTTATTGTGACGTCGCCCATGTGATACCGCCTCCGTCACTACATCTGTGTTCGAGGCCTGCGCATGCTTGCCATCGAAGAAGCATGTGTTCTCTCTTGCGAGTTCAATCCGGGGGGTTCTGGCAGGCGTGCGCGCGCATACTGTTATTTTGCGAAGCACTTCTTCGTCCGTGGATGGTCTGTGGATTCGATTGGCGGGGTCTCGCAATTCCCCTGGGAGTCTTATTTGGGTCTTCGTGGCCCCAGTTCTTCTTGCACGTGTAGTGTATGTAGTACTTGTGGCTCCGCCCGGCAGCCGCGCCTCAGACTGCGGCTCTTTTTCCCTGTACGTGGCACCTTGGACTACCACGGCCTGGGCCTCTCCTGCATCCTGCTCGGTGGCACAACGTCGCACTCCGGCCCAGCGGTGCTCCTCATCCTCTCGGGCGTCGCCCTGGATGCGTGGCGCGTCCTCTCCCGCAGTTTATGGGGATGGTGTACATGATGCGCCGCTGACGGCACCACCACCAGCTTTTTACCTCCCGGTACTTCGCCTCCGGGTTCATGCTCAAGGCGTTCCTTTGCATGCACTCCGCCTTCGGCACCGCCTGCTCCCGGGGCTTTGCCCTCTCTTGGCCTTGACGTGAGGCCCCGCCTTCTGTTTTCCTTCCTCTGTTAATTAAAGCTGTGCGCGGCCCGCTTAGCTTCGACCGGAAAAGGCTCGCTCTCGACCCGCGAATCAAAAAAAGTATGTAGTACTTGCGTTCGGTCGCCAAACATTGCGATTGCAGACGCTGGGCAGGCCTTCGAACGACTTAATTTTGGAGCGATCGTTCTGCTAAGTGTAAGGTTTTCGATTGACGCGTCAACACCTGTCTGTCGGTGTAGTCTTTTGCTGATGTCATAAAACTTGTTGTCTTGTTGTCTTGTTGTTCTTATTCGTCAACCCGTTGGAGAAGATCACCGATGTCTACTTGACGCTTCGTTTCTATCGATTGGGGGCGTCGTCCTCAAGCAATTGCATGTTGTCCGGACGCGGGGTCCGCTATCGCCGGCAATATGTGATGCTACAGTGTGCTTCCGCGAACACCAATGCGACATGGAATTCCCATCACGACGATTATATCGTTTTCGTGTGGTTGCTGATTGCACGCCCATGTCCAAGAAGAGGTGCCAATTTTGGTTGATTAATATTTCTATACGTGTCTATGCCAACACGTCGGCATTTGATTTGGATGGGCCACAGGAGTGCTTCGGGGTTGTCACCATCCAGCCAGTGTTGCACATCTTCCCGCCTATCAGCTTTTCCGATGTGCTTGTGACTATCGAGCCGAAGAATGGCTTGCCCAGCATCGTGCTGACTCGCTTGGCGGACAAATTCTGTGGTCATCTGTTGGGCAGTTCGAGTCCCATAGCATCGACCTCGTGTGCGTGGACATGCTGTCATACCTACGATGTGGTTTCATAGCCGGCATCTACGGAGCCCATGGGCCTCTGTGGACGGATAGTCGAAAGTTCCGCTCCATCGCACTAGAATGTTTGAAGGTGTTTGCTCTGACGTCTGGCTTTTTGCAAGTCCCTTGATCATGCAACTTGCGTATCTTGTCGCCGTTGCCGACGGGCTCTGGGCTGTGCTTGGCGCGCCCGGTCAATACTCGAACTTCGCAGGGGTCTTCGTGAGGATTTGCCCCTTCTGACGTGCATGTGGTACACGAGGACAAAAGAGCCCAATCTGAGTTACCGAGTCCTTTGCTGAGATTATAGGTCGATGCTTATGAGGCTTCTCTGACAGGCTATAGTCCAGATTGCCTCTGCTCACTTCGTGCTCTCTCGGATTGCTGCGTGGACCAGCTAATGCACGACCGTTGTCACACGCCCCGTGGGAGTGGGTTTCGTGTGTGTGTGTGTGCGTGCTTGACCTCAGCTTCGTTTTTGTCGTCTGATGTTGCAAGTGATTGTATTCTCCGTCTCACTGCGCGTGCGCGTGCCCACGTGCCGCTGCCCGTATCCGTTTTGGTTCAGTCTTGTGATCTTCTGTCTGGCAGGCTCTCCTCCGAGCAGAGTCGACGATCAGCAGGCGACGTTTAAATCAGCTCAACTCTAGTCCTGGCCTGCCGTGCAGACAACTCACTTTTCATCCTCGTCTTGACAACTGTACTATCCGATATGTGAGCTTTGATTCCTTGTCTTAGCCCCCATTGCCACTCGTGATTGCAGTGGGGGTCTTGGCGCTAATCAGAGCCCGAAGTCGATTGTACTAGAGAGTGTCGGTCCACAGTTAACAGATTCAAGTTTTTGAAGTTTGGGTTGAACTCTGATATCCAGTCGTACACGATGTTGGTATCTCTATCTATATCTGCGTTGTGCTCAACCGCGTGTGTGTGTGTGCTTGCGTGAGAGTGTGTGTGTGTGTGTGTCTGCGTGTGTGCGTGTTCCAGCTTCCGGGTGCTCTTCGCGGCTGACGCCCACCCCTGTGTGCAAGAAGCCCTTGGCCTGGTGCTCCACCAGCCCCGCCGCCCAGCCAACGAGGCATTGTCGAGCGTCGACATCTGGGGCGTCAACAAATACAGCGGCCTCACGTTTGGAGCCAGAGCGTGGGAGGAGGGGCAGCAGGAGGAGGAAGAGGAGGAGGAGGAGGCACGAGTAGGAGGAGGCAGGAGGAGGGAAGATGAGAGGGAAGGGAGGAGGAGCAGCTCGACAGTTCTGTGAATATCCCTCGCCCTCGCCCAGGGATTGAGCAGGCTGGCCGGACCGAGGTTGAGATCTGGGAGGGGGGGGACGCGGCCAGAGCGGCCAGAGGCGCTAGACGAGGCGCCTGACCTGCGCCAAGCGTCCGACGCAGAGATCCCCAGAGCACAGTGCAGCATCTAACACCACAGAACAGTGGTTCGTCTAGTCGCAGTGTGGTGCAACTTGCCAGCGTGATCGAGGCATGCAGGGCGAGAGGCGAGCGTTCAGTCTCAAGCTTACTGTTCAGGTAGGGTCTGGTCTGGTTGTCCTCCAGCTAGAAATCAGAAAGTAGGGCCTGTTATAGCCGGCGCGCGAGAGAGAGAGAGAGGGATGAGGGGGGCGAGGACGAAGACCGAAGCGACTGAATTTTCGAGTGGTCGTTCCGAGGATCGGGATTATCGATCGGACCAGGCAGGTCGGGATGGTGAGTAGGATTTGGAAAGCCTGTTCCGGTGTGGGGCGGGGTGGGAGCATGGAGAGGAGAGCTCTAGACGCGAGAGCAAGGGCGAGGTCGTGGGAGGGCGCGGCGGCCGCGCGCGGGGTGACCGAGGAGACCTCTTCGACACTTGGTCGCGGGTTTCTGAGTTGCCCATGTTCCTTGGCGAGTACGGCGCCGACGCGTACGACGCGCGCGCTGGACAGCCGAACGAGGCGGCGCAGGCCACGGGCTTCCGGGGCCGCTGCGCAAAGGGGTCTGTCGGGGAGGGGCCTCTTGTACGTGTCCATGGCACCGCCGTCGGGGCTTTCGACTGACCAGAGCAAGAGGCACGCATGAGATATGCTCCGTGCGTTCGACCTTGGCGCTGCCAGATGCCTTCCGTGGTGGTTTCGAAACGCATAACAAGCGACCTGGTGAGGGAGCACACTGAGTGTCTCCCTCTTGCGGCCAGCGGCAGAGCTGCACCCCTGGGCCTGGTTCCACTCATGTTTTGCATTGGAGCGAGGTTTGGTTGATACTGACGAGCCCGTACGGCTGGATGGTACTTCCGAGTCGAGAAGTGTGCTCCACTGGCGATGTCAGGGTCTGCTGGGGGGGGTTGTATGAACCTGCTCTTCCCCATGTCTCTCGCCTTCTGGAGCCCTGCTTTTGGCAACCGGTCTCGGCTGCGAGGCAGAAGCCACCTCGGCGCTCTCGGCGGAGCTCCTGAGCGCCAGCAGCGCAGCCAATCGCGGCCCGTGCATCGGCGGCGCGGTGTTCGAGCTCGCAGACGAATGGTGGAAGGCAGCCCCGCGTTTGCAGGTTGCACCGTGCAGCAAGATGATTTCCACAAATTCGTTGGCGTGTGCAGAAGGCTTGCAACTTAGCAGAGGTGCCCTCAGAAAGGGATCATCCCATGTGATGATCCCCAGAAGCGATGACCAGACCCCTCTGAAGATTTTGTCGGCGATGGGAATTCGCGCATGCGCGTCGTGCCGTCGGGCGCGTCATTCGTGTCGGGGCCTTTCGAGCGTGCCAAGCTGGAGTCTCGGTGGGCCACCATGGGCCAATTCGCATGCACATGTTTGGAGGCTCTGGGTTCGACACGCGTGGCCGAACACTTGGACCTCTCATAACCCCCTCTTGGGGGGGGCCATCCGTCTATCATACAGGGTCTTCTCGGGCTCTCATGTGATCCTTTTGAAACTCTCCTGGTTCTATCTTGGGCTCTCTTCTGGTTTCCGTGGGTCCTGGAGCGCCGCTGGACCGCTCTTGTGCCCTCTTGGAGCCTTCGCTCGTCTGGGTCCCTCCTGAGGTACCCATGCAAGTTTTTTGTCTAACCTCTTGAGGCCATCTCTGGGCGTCTGGAGTACGTTTTGGGGAGATTCAGGGGCTGTTTCGTGGCTATCTTGATGCCCTTCGGGGACACCGCGGCCCCCTGCGGCCTGATCGACGATTTCTACAGTCCGCCGCGCATGATGTGTCTGACATCCCCCGTGCTAGGCTCAAACTGACAACATGCGTGCTGCAGGGCCAGTTTCGCAATCTCGTTATGAATGGCCGCATCATTCACTCTGCTCCCCCCTGTGGCCCCATCAAGATCCTAAGGCCGGGTCCACCAGCTGGCCCTCGCGAGCCACGGTGGCGCTGTTGCATTGCCAGGCTTTGCGGAAGGGTGCGGATGCCTGCGTCTTCGTGTTTTCAGCTCGCCTCTGGCGCGGCCCTCAGCGCCACGAGGCGCGCAGCACTGCACGCCCGCAGCACCCTGAACGCCCGCATCCTACCTCGCGCTCCCTCCTTCACACGCGCGCGCACATATATATATATATATATATATATATATATAGACGTACATAAACATCCATCCATCCATCCATCCATCCGTCCGTCCGTCCGTCCGTCCGTCCGTCCGTCCATCCATCCATACATACATACATACATACATACATACATACATTCACACACCGTCACTTCTGCACACCCCCTCCGATCAGGAGCACGCCCAGCGCAAAGGCCCACGGCCTACCGAAACGCCCCCCCCGACCGAGGACGGCACTGGCAGTCCAGGCGAGCACGACGTTGGCGGCGTGTCGCCGGGGGGTGGCCCGTGGCCGGACATGACCTTCAACGAGGAGAGGCTGGTGCAGCGGGCGCAGGGCACAGGGTCGGGGCGCGCGGGAGCGGAAGGCGGAGCGGACGGGGAGCGGCGAGAGGAGCAGTGCGCGGCGGGAGGGGGGGGTGGAGGTGGAGCATTGTGGGGTTGGGGGCGGAGGACGGGGGAAGGAGGGGTGGGGATGTCGAGGGCGGTAGCGGGATGAGATCAGGACGGAAGAGGGGGAGGAAGGAGGGATGATGAGGGAGGAGGGGTAGGAGTACGAGGAGGAGGAGGAGGAGGCCATGTACTTGCCTAGGGTCTGTTTAACGACAAGAAGAAGGAGGGGGAGGAGGAGAACAAAGAGAGGGGAGGGTGAGGGGCAGGAGGAGGACCAGGAGTTGGAGGAGGAGGAGGATGAGGAGCAGGACGAGGATGAAAGGAAGAATGAAGGAGGAGGAGGAGGTGGAGAGGATGAGAGGAGGAGAGGATGAGATGAGGAGAGGAGGAGAGAAAGAGGAGGAGCGGGAAGAGGAGAAGAAGGAGGAGTAGGAGGAGCGAGGAGCGAGGGCATGGCTAGAGCAGCGAGAGAGAGAGAGAGAGAGACAGAGACAGCGAGAGAGAGAGAGAGACACGCACACATATACATACATACTTTTTTGATCTGCAGGGCGAGAGCGAACCTCTTCCGCTGAAAGCTAAGCGGGACGCGCACAGCTTTAACTAGCAGAGAAAGGGCAACATAAGCCATACATACATACACATACACATACCCATACCCATACACATACACGGACACATACACGTACACATGCATACACAGATACACATACACCTACACATACACATAAACATACACATGCACATACACATACACACGCACGCATGCACAAACGCACGCACGCACGCACACGCACACACACACACACGCACACACACACACACGCACACACACACACACGCACGCACGCACGCACGCACACACACACACACACACACACACGCGCACGCACGCCCGCGCGTGCGCACGCACGCACGCACGCGCGTGCGCACGCACGCACGCACGCACGCACGCACACGCACACGCACACGCACACGCACACGCACACGCACACGCACACGCACACGCACACGCACACGCACACGCACTCCCCCCCCCCCACACATACACATACACATACACACATACACACATACACACATACACACATACACACATACACACATACACACATACACACATACACACATACACACATACACACATACACACATACACATACACACAGACGCGCGCGCACACGCACGCACGCACGCACACAAGAAATGATGATAGGTTCAGGCGGGGGGCGGAGGGAGGAGGGGTGGGGAACGCGTCAGATGGGAAGGGGGGGGGAAGGAAGGGCAGGGAAACGGAGTGAAGGAGGTCGACAAAGGAAACGGGGAGGAGGATAAAGAGGAGGAGCGAGGATGACGAGGAGGAGGGATTCCCTCCTTGCCCGACATCAATCGACAGTACTTCACGCTCCTGCAACAATGACTCCGAGAAGCACTGCAGAAGTGGAAAACATCCTCATCCCACACCAGCATCATAACACACTGGTCACAAAGACCAGCCAACATCCTGTACCATAGACGGGGCGACTAACGCAAGGACCAGCGGACATTCGAGGAAGATGATCCTGCTGACCACGACTTACGGCGACGCCTGCTGGCCCACATGACCTGGGATGACCTCAACCACGGCATCGACAACAACATGGTCAGGCTACGGTATTCACAGTACAACGTAGACGGCACAGAAAGAAGCCTCACATATACCGTATACATTACCTTCTCCCAGCAGCACGACAAACGTTACGAGTTCCAGATCGACGGGGACTACGGCATACGCACCAAGGTCACTAGGGAAATTAGGAACACGTTCCTCAGCTCACTGACCGGCCCACAACACAACATTGCAGCAGGCTCAGGGCTATTGCCACTAACAAATTTCTGTGCAGACGCCCTACACACATCAGGCGCATCATCAGTACACCCTCCTTGGGCCACGTGTGTTCCGGAGAAGCAGCGCAGACAGATCACAACACCACCCACATACGACCAACCTGAACACGTAGACCTTCACGACGCGACTGGCTACGAATGCGAACTGTTGGACGATTGGGCAGGCTCGGTACGCGAAAAACCAAGCGCTTCCCACCCCGAGCGCCCACGCTTCCCACGCACTACGAGCTGACCTCACCGACAGCTACCAACCCCAAGTGGCCACGTATGATATGCCAGTTAGGCCCAACACCAACTGCTGTAATACACCCCAACACGCACCTTATCCAACAACCGCGCAACCCCAAGTTCATCCGTCCACAACCTACGCCTGAGCTACCACTCCCCAGCGGTCCACAATTCCAATTCAGACCTCCGAGGAAACTCAAGACCAGAGACGCAATCATCATACCCACGAATGGACCGCACGACCATCCACACTACAACTTTGTTCACGGTGAACTTGCGCAACTACGCATAGCAGTACAAAAGCAGTACGAGCACGAGGACAAAGTGCGACTGACTTGTACAGGCCAGGCCACATACCTATCAGTCCACCGCAACAGCGCATACCGAGCTTAGTTTTCAGGCCCAAGCCAGCAAGCCAAGACAGAACGCCGCTCGACGTCAGCTATGGAAATACACCACCGCCCGATGCACATACACCCACGCCACCGACAGACAGTGCCACGACAGCAGCCAGAATTGCCACTTCCCCACAATCCATGGGGACACGTCCAAGACACCCCACTTGACCTAGTCTACGACACAAGCGACTCTGATTGCAGCGCAGACGAAAACGACCCCTGAGCCAAACTTGACCGAGCAGCCGACACGCAGGAGTTTTACCTCACATCGCTACCTCCACATAAAGGACACGACATGCACTGCCCCATTGGATGGACTGCTTAATCCCACCACGCCAGTGACACAGACGCCGACGGCTACGCGGACGACCGATGGCATTCATTACATGCGCTCTACTACCACGAAGCCACCAACACCTACTCGCTCCGGCTCCGAAAAACGACCTGCTACTATCAGGATGGCACAGGTAATCGGATAAGTTCAATAACGAGCTCATACACCGAGACCAGCAGCAATATCATCCGCGCCCTCCACTACGACCCGACTCACAACCAATATCGTTCTCGACATGCCAGCTACCACGCGCGTGCATAACCACGTGCTTCAAACTCAAAGGGCGCCATGTACGCCGACGCGTTCACCACCCTACAAACCCACGCGCGACCAAGCAAGGTTCCGATACGGCAGCGGCATGCCATCATCTGCCAGCCATTATCGCCACAATGCAACATTCAGACTTGCAGTAACCACCACCAGCCAGCTCTTCCACGCACTTGTTAGCGGCAGCCCTGCCCCACTGAACCACAACAAAATAATGGCCATCCCGGAAGTTGCACGATGGCTCAACACATGGCGCGATAACAACGAGCATCTAAAGTACGACTGGGTGGCCAACATCTACGGTACGACGGCGCCCCGACAAAATATATGCAACCCGACGGCATCTTGCAGCTCCATCGGGCCCACGCAGCCGACGCCCAGCACCCGCTCAAGTGACGATGGAAGGCATTCCGACCGCCGCGCACTCGACGAACGACAGACCCTGCACAATCCCAACCCCGCCGGCACCCACGCAAATTCCACCTGCCAAGAAACCACCACCGCACTTCGCTGCACCAGCTGCTAATTCGCTTGACTTGAGACCCAACCATATGCAGCTGCGAGTGCCGCATTGTGAGCGCCGCTTTCGGCGGGGCTCTTCATGGGGCCACGGGCCGCGCGAGGGGTGCGTCGAAGTGGGCGCGACGGCGCCGTGCGAACCCCCGCTGGAGCCTTCGGTGGAGCTCCCTGCGGGGCAGCAAGCCGCGCGAGAGGCGCGCCGAGCTGGGAGCGGCGGCGCCATGCGAACCCTCCCGCTGGGCATTCGGTGGGGCCCCCCTTGGAGCCTTCGGTGGAGCTCCCTATGGGGCCGCGTGCCGCGCGGGGGGCGCGCAGAATTGAGCGCGGCGGCGCCGTGCGAACCCTCCAGCTGGAGCCTTCGACGTCGGCGGGGCCCCCTCGGGGCAGCGAGCCGCGCGATGGGCGCGCCGGATTGGGCGCGGCAGTGCCGCGCGAACCCTTCAACTGGAGCCTTCGGCGCAGCTCGCGATGGGCCGCGAAGCGTGCGAGGGGTGCGCCGAATTGGGCGCGGCGGTGCCGCGCGAACCCTCCAGCTGGAGCCTTCGGTGGGGCTCCCTATGGGGCCGCGAGCCGTGCGAGGGGTGCGCCGGATTGGGCGCGGCGGTGCCATGCGAACCCTGTCATTGGAGCCTTCGGTGGAGCCCACCCCTGTGGGGCTGCGAAACGCGCGGGGGGGCGCAGAATTTTGCGCGGCGGCGCCAGCTGGAGCCTTCGGTGGAGCTCCCTGCGGGGCAGCGAACCGCGCGAGGGGCGCGCCAGTTTGGGTGCGGCGGTGCCGCGCGAACCTCCACGCTGGAGCAGTCGGCGGAGCTCCCGGCAGGGCCGCGAAATGCGCGGGGGGGGCGCAGAATTGAACGCGGCAGCGCCACGCAGACCCTCCCGCTGGAGCCTTCGGTGGAGCTCCCTGTGGGGCAGCGAACCGTGCGAGGGGCGCGCCGGATTGGCGCGGCGGCGCCGCGCGCGCCCTCCCGCTGGGGCCTTCGGCGGAGCTCCCTGCGAGGCAACGAACCGCGCGATGGGGTGCGCCAGTTTGGGGGCGGTGGTGCCGCGCGAACCCCCCCGCTGGAGCATTCGGCGGGGCCCCCGATGGGGCCGCGAAATGCGCCGGGGGCGCGCCGAATGGAGCGCGGCGGCGCCAGGCGAACCCTCCCATTGGAGCCAGGTGGAGCTCCTGGCGGGGCTGCGGAACGCGCGAGGGGCGCGCCGACGCGGCGGACGCGCGGGGGCAGAGGCGCAAGGGGCGGCGGGGGGGGGGGGGAGAGGAAGGAGGGAGAGGAAGGAAGGAAT